AAACTTTTTTAAATCATAAAAGTGAAAATAGAAACTCTTCTACTTATTGACGCAGCAGAATACACGGGATTAGATATCGTTCTAGTAGACGAAAAGGGGCTCTCAAATCCACGAGAAAAATAGAACCTTGAATCCACAAGGAAAAGAAAATATCTCAATATTATTGATTGAATGAATAAAAGTTGTATATAGTTGTCTTTGCCATGAGGCTTACATAGTTATTTATAATAAACTAAACCTAATACTTGTAGGAAAAGTAATTCTAAAATAAACTAGGAAACTGAAATCAACACAAATTAGGAAACCTAAGAAAATAGGAAACTAAAGTTTTAAACTATTTAAAATCTTAGTCAAAGTCTAATTCCAAAATAATAAAATTAAGAAATTTAATAATTTTAAAATATTTATACTAAATTAGAAAAATCCTAATAAAATAATATATCAAAAATATTAAAACTAAAAAGATAAAAATTCTTAAAATCTTGTCCTACATCAGACTCCTCTTCTTTGAAAGAACTCGTTTTCGAGTTCATATTAAAGATCTGCCATCTTCCATGCCAAATAAAGAGATATTTTGAATGTTTCAGTTGCTTGCTCTTTTTCTAAAAGTTGTATATAGAAAAGTTTTCTTTCTGATGGTTCTTCTCTATATGCTTTAATTGGTTGACAAGATTAATTTGACAAGCATTGAAAATCAAATTAAATTGCTTAACACCAAGAAAATCAACAAAATTTACTTCATGTAGAACTTGAATGCTCTCTTGATGTTGCACCATCCCAGATTCAATTGATCCTTCGATTATCAACCTTGGAATATTAAGTGTAGCATCAACTAATTTCTTTGTTGCACACGACAGTTGTATTATCTCTTCTTCTATTTTCTCTTTGTTACTGGGCTCAATCAGATCTTCTTCTTCTTCTTCAATATTTTTATGACTTGTTTGTAAAACTTTCTCCCCAGTATTCAAATTACCATGTGTTGACGCATTATCATCACTCGAACAAGACTTTGTATCTTCTTCATTAGTTTTACAACCAATCTCACCACAAATAATATTTTGATGCGAATTTTTTTCCTTTTCAACTACAATTTCATGGCAATGTTTTACCAACTCCATAGAAGTATCTTGATTTGTATATGATAATATATCTTCATGATTATGAAAGTAAAATTTTGATGCTAAAAACTTTTTCATTGTTAACCATGAATGAATTTTGTCTCTACCTTTGCAAACTCGATAATCTTGTAATCCATTCCACCACTTCAATGCAATTTTATCAAGTTTGTAGGATGCAAATATTAGCTTCTTTTCATGAGGAATCTTCATGAATTCAAAGAAATTTTCAAGATCAAGCAACCGATCTTCTTTTTGAAACTTACTTGAACCATTAAACTATGAAATTTGTGCAAAATAATGTAAGCTAACAAGTTGGCCTCGGGTGAATCCTCCGGCACAATTGTTGTCAACTATTGGTTGCCTCTGGTTGACGATTAGTCCCAAATCGACAAATAGATTACAAATCTCATTGCGAAGTTCGTGTATCTCTAGCCGATGTTCCTCAATTGCATCCCATATGGCTTCCACCCTACGATCAATGTCAATAGGGATTGTGTGTTCTCTATTGTCTTGTGTCATCAAGTTAGGCAAATTCATGCTCTGATACCACTTGATGCAGCGGAATACACGGGACTAGATATCGTTCTAATAGACGAAAAGGGACTCTCGAATCCACGAGAAAAATAGAACCTTGAATCCACAAAGAATAGAAAATATCTCAATATTATTGATTGAATGAATAAAAGTTGTATATAAAAGTTTATATAGTTGTCTTTGCCATGAGGCTTACATAGTTATTTATAATAAACTAAACCTAATATTTGTAGGAAAAGTAATTCTAAAATAAATTAAGAAACTTAAATCAACACAAATTAGGAAACTTAAGAGAATAGGAAGCTAAAGTTCTAAACTATTTAAAATTCTAGTTAAAGTCTAATTCCAAAATAATAAAATTAAGAAACCTAATAATTTTAAAATATTTATACTAAATTAGAAAAATCATAATAAAATAATATATCAAAAATATTAAAACTAAAAAGATAAAAATTCTTAAAATCTTGTTCTACATCACTTATGATTATGGTTGTGATCATAATATAATCACCATCACCATCATATCATTTATCACCATTGCCCATTAAAATCATAATCATGGTGGCAATTTTGATAGTGGAAATCAGGTATGCTCTTTTCTACTCGTAAAATTATGAATACATTGGAAACAATTTTGGTGCATGCACCGGTGTATACATGATTAATGTAGTAGTTTTCGAGCATCTATCCCAATTTATGTGTAGATATACTAATGGGATGTATATTGAAGTAGGTTTATATAAATTTAGAAGTTTGATTATGGACATGACTTGAGATGTAAGTATTACGTGACAAGATAATAATAACTCAGACTATAATAAAAATCAAATTTCGGTCAGTATATGACTTGAGTAATTCCAATGCCATAAGAAAATTACTTAAATAAAATCAAATCCAATCAAATTAGGGGAAGAGGACCACAAGATAAGGAATATTTACTAGGCAATTAGATTTTTACATAGAAAAGAAAGCCTACAAGGTAGCAAGACACTTCTATATAAATAGTACACTTCTTTTAAAATATACATGTTCTAGTTTTGAATTATAACTTTCAATATTCATCTTATTAAATATATAATCTCAATTTTGCGAGTGTAGATCTCAACATTCATCTTGAAGTTTCGTATAGTTCCTCTCAATAATAGCGTGGCAGGATTTTTTTACCCAAACACACATATATATAAATGATTTATTAGTAGATTCTTTTACAGTATGCTGGTAATGCCTTGTTTTTTTTTTTTTTTTTTTTTTAACACCACAACAGTGCCTATCACATGAGAAAACAAATTATAAATAGGGCAAGTAAAGTCAAGTCTTCGTATTGGACATGTGTATTTCATTAAAGATTCTTTCACCTCTTCCAAATAAATATATATATAAAAAAAAAAAAAAAAAAAAAAAAACCCTCTTTTATGGGGGCAGCATGCAAAGCAATATAGCTCCATTCGGAAAGATGGTTTATAAGCTTTTTTGGTTATTTTAGTCACAAAAGATAAAATAGGCTATTTTAGTCACAACAGACAAAACATCAAATCTAATCCATAATCATTACACTATTCTCTCACAAAAAAAGTCAAAAAAGTCCTTTCCAAACCAAGCTTTTTAGCCCAAGCTACAATAATCTCGGTTTGGAAAATGAGTTGGCTTTTAACTTTTTGACTTTTTAGTTATTTTAGCCTGGGCTAAAAAGTTTGGTTTGGGAATGACTTTTTAACTTTTTTGACTTTTTTTGTTAAAGAAAAATATAATGATTATGGATTGAATGTGATGTTTTGTTTGTTGTGGCTAAAATAGTCTATTTTTTCTTTTGTAGTTAACATAGCCAAAAAAACTCTTACCAAACGGAGCCTAATCAAAAAATTTAAAAAGTCAACTCACTTTCTAAATGAAACCTATAGATATTGGGAAAACTTACTTTGGGTTGGAGTTGAAGTTGATTTGAAAATATATCAAATTGATAGAGTTGAAGGTGATACACCCAACAATGAATAATTGTTAGACCTATTCATATCAAGGTTTAAGATTTTCAAATAATGTGGTCAAGGTTTAGGTTAGAGCAAATCTATAAAATAAAAAAATAAAAAGAAGGATTTAGGTTAGAGAGATAGAGACATATTGCAAAAAGCTCTATCACGAAATACAACAACTCCTCTCGAATTCTTATTTTTTTTAATCACCATAAATTTATGAATGAGGATCCTCTCCTTGCAGCTCTTGTACTTGCGCCCGTCCTTGCAGGCTTTCAGGTCTACTTTTAGGCTCAATTTTGATAATCCGAACTGTTCATATTTTATGATTTATTCAGTATATCATACTTGTAAAAAATCAAATTGATCAAATATCAGAAAGTATGTGTTCGAAAAATTGAACTAAAAACTATTTTTTAAAGAATTTAATAAACAGTTTTTCGAACATATGTTTTCTGATATCCGATCAACTTGATTTTTTACAGGTATGATATACTGAATAAATCATAAAATATGAACGGTTCAGATTATTAAAATTGGGCCTAAAAGTAGACCCGAAGGCCTGCAAGGACGAGCGCAAGTACGAGACTGCAAGGAGAGAGCCTTGGCTCTAAATTTATTAAAGATAAAATTAGGTATGAAAGAACCCCAACTTCATTATTCTTTTTCTTCAATTTTGTTCCATTCCTTTCTTTTTTTTAACTATTTGGAGATGGATCAAATTGACCATTGACAAAATCCGAGGATATTTTATTTTTTATTTTTTATAAATTGAAGGCTACCAAAATTACCACGTAAACTTATGAGTTCTTGTCGAATGAGGTTTTTTTTTTTTAAATAACTATTTTATTTAATCTTATTACTTTTTTTTTCAATGTTTATAATGGAACTAAAAAGACAATTTTACCCTATCCTTATCAAAATAATAAGGGGCTATAAGAATTAAAAAAAAAAATCAATTTATAAATATATATTATGGGATTTTTTTATCATATTTATCTTCGTATTATATATGCAAACTTATTTATTTCCTGGCCAAATCAAAATAAATAAAAAAAGAAGAGAATGTTGTTGGGTTCCGTGGTCCACCACAAAACCTGCATCAATTATCCGAATCAAAACTCGTCAAATATGTCATTTATATTATTTTAATATCAACTCAATATAATTTTTTATACCAATAAAAAATTTTAACAAATTACGAAAGTTCAATAACACCCTCTCTAAAAAAAAATAAATAAATAAACAAAATTGTTGTACTTATCAGGTGGGATTTGTCAAATAAAAAATTCCAATTGCCGACCTTATACGGAAACGTAGCATTATATAAATTTATATTAATCACCGATTGATAGAAAAAATAATAATAATAATAAAAAAATCCAAAAACAATATAATTTTTTTTAAAAAAAAATCACCGATTGATGGAAAATCCTTTTAACAACCGCTTCCAATACAATCTTCCTCCATAGATTTGAGAAGCTATTGTGAGGTCAAGAAAGAGATTCGATTTAGAAACCCTAACCCTAGTTTTCTTATCATTTCGAAGGAAGAGAGAGAGAGAGAGATGGGTTCCGAAGGAAACAACACGAGCTTCCAACCATCAGAGCCAAAGCTCTGCGCCAACGGGTGTGGCTTCTTCGGCTCTGCGACGACAATGAATCTCTGCTCAAAGTGCTACAGAGACTCGACTAAAGCCGTTATGGACAAGCTCGTGAATCAGAACCAGAACAAGACGGTGATTGATGAGGTTTCTGCGGAGTCATCGGCGGTTGAATCGCCGGTGATAGTCGCAGCGCCGGCGAAGGCGGGGAACAGGTGCTGGAGCTGTAAGAAGAAGGTGGGAGTGCTAGGGTTCCGGTGCCGGTGCGGCGAGACGTTCTGTGGGAGCCATAGGTACCCGGAGAAGCACGATTGTAATTTCGATTTCAAAGCGGTGGAGAGAGACGCCATATCCAAAGCTAATCCAGTGGTCAAGGCTGATAAGATCAAGAGGTTCTGAATTATCGTTTGGAGTGGGTTCATCTTTTGTGGTTTTTCTTTTTTGGAGTTTGATTTTGGTGCCTTGTTGGTGGTTTCCGCCGGTGGTGGTGGTGGTGGTGGTGGGTGGAGGGTTTCATAATAATGTTGAACATTATACTTACTCATGATTTAATGAAATTAGTAATTTGGTATTTTTGGAAAACTTAAAATGTCGGAGTTTTTAAATACATTCATGTTGTGGGTGTGCAGAAAGTCAATGACTGGTTTGATAAATATTTTTTAGATAAATTATAAATATATTTTTTTGAATTTCATTTAAAATATAAAATTATTTCATTTGATTTTGAAAACTCTATAATAAATAGAATTTTTATTAATAAATATTAAATTATTAATAATATTATAAATATATTTTAATTAAAAATTCAGATAATTTTATTATTATAAGATAGCAATTAAGAATTTTTTTTATAATTAATTCTGTTAAATAATTTTTTTAATAGGATATTTGTAATTTTTAAAATTTAAGTAAATTTGAAAGATGTATTTGTAATTTATTTATATTTTTTAGTATATTTCAAAAATTTTGTTAATATAATTGTTAAAAAAATTGACGAGTTTGATAAATATTAAATAATATTTGAAAAAATACAATAATTTTTAGGGAATTTGTTTTTAAGGTTCTTGATATTAAGATTTTATAAGATAAAGGATATACGATATTTTATAGTAGTTAAGTTCTCCTAATATTTTTATAAAGAAAATTTGACTCAGAGAAATTTCATTCGACTGGTCTCGACACAGAGAAATTGTAATTTTCACAAAGAAATTTTGCTGATATGATTACAGAGAAATTTCAAAATTTTTCTAGTATGATTACAGAGAAATTTTATCGAAGAATCTTAACTAATAAAAAAAAAATCTTAAATCTCTCCTACTACACAAAGTTAGAAAGAGATGTTTTACTAATTTTTTTTCTAATTTTTATATATTTAAAATAATTATATTAATTTTTTTAAAATTTAATTAATATAACATTTAAAGTATTTTTTATTAATAATTCTTTTGTCTTTTATAAATGAAAAAATTAATGCTCTCATATTATTTTTATTAAGATATATATTTATTTTTATTTATTTCAATGTGAATAATTGTATTTTTTTAGGAAAATGTACACCTCAGTCTATTTTTTTTTTTTATAAAAAAATTCAACTCACTAATAAACATTATAAACAATAAAAATTAAATTTATAAGAATTTTCATTATTCTATAAATATTTTTTGAAAACCCCTCTAAGGTGTAACTTTCCCCTTTTTTTTTTGTGTCCAGGCCTGTCTCTAATATGAAATCAAACTAGAACATATTGTTGGGCTCTGTAGGCGCACCATAGAGTTCACGTCGATGATCTGAATTGTATAATATTTAGGATTCATTGAGTACTTCAACTTTACAAAAAATCAAGTTGATTAGATATCGATAACCGCTTGATCAGATTAAATTTGTGTTAACGATAATTATGATTTTAAAAATAAATTGTTAACACAAATGTGATAGGCCCACACATTGAAAGTGATTTTTTACAAGAATAAAATACTCAACGAGTTGTACATATTAAATAGTTCGAACCATTAATGTAAGCTCCGTGATAGGCCACGGAGACCTAACAAGACGCTCAAAGCTCTTCCCCTTTTTTTTTTTTTAAAACCTTCTGCATGTAATTTATCCTAAAAGTTATGGATTTCAAATTTTTTTTTATGGAAAATCTAAAAAATAATGGGTTGGAATAAGGGTGAATTATATTATACACACTTCATACCATATATATAATTAATTAAGTCATTTTCTTTTTTAATCACTAATTTTTTTTCTTTAGTTTTAACATTATTTTGAGATCTTTAGTTATGATTTTTTTTGTATTTTGTTATAATTTTTTTTTAAAATTTTAATTATGACTTAGAAAAGATAAAATTATTTCATATTCTTTTAGGAAAAATTATTTATAAGTCCTATTTAGGAGACTTATATTACATATAGTTTTAAGTAAAAACGGGTTGCGTTTGGTAGAGTTTTGTAAATATTATTTGAAAGTATGAATTGTATTTTGAGTTTGTGAGTTGTGGAATTATGATTTGAGTGTAGAAAATTTGTTTGGTTATGATTTTTGAAGAGAGTGTTGAATTGAGTTTTGAATTGAGTTTTGAAAGTTTGATTTGACATGTGAAGTAAGAAAAATTGTTTGGTTATGAGTTTTGGAAAGAGTTTTCAAAACTTAATTCAAATTGTTATAAGGGGGATGCACCAATAAATCCCAAATTAATAACTTATACACTGTTTAGTCCTAAAAGTTTTCTTATAGACTGAAAGGTCCCATTACAATGTTTCAAACATCAGATTAATGTTTCGAACATTAGATTTCGAACATCAGATTAATGTTTCAAACATTAGATTGATGTGCAAATGGGACTAAATGGAGCATAAGAAAACTTTTAGGACTAAATGGTTCAACTTTTCAGAAACTAGGACTTATGGGTAAATTTTCCAAAAATTTATTACTATCTTTAGGTTGACAGGTGTCTCAACATATGACAGATCATTTTCGAAGTCAACATTTGGAATATTAATGATCTCCAGTGGGTTAGGGACTGTGGTGACAATATAATCCTCGGGGTACACGTTCCCCCTCCTGGCTGCAAACTCTGGGGGTAGAGGGCCTATAATATAATGTGGGCGGTCATGACCCGGGGCGACGCTAAGGACGCGAGATGGTCCGAGAAAACGTCTGCGTGTATGGACAAGACTGCGCCTCCATAATAAGTGTGGGACGTCGGTAGGGTCAACCTGGATATAAAGGGGCCTCTTTTTATGCCGGCCAAGGCCTGGGTGCAATTCCCTGACTATTTCCTCAGAATCTACCCAACCCTCAGGTGAGGCAGGGGCGGGGGCAGGGTGTTCAGCTAAGATTTCATCTAAATTGATGGCCTGGGGGTCATTCCAAAAAGCATCATCAAGGTAAATCTCTGACATCCCTACAGCACCAGAATAAACGTGAGATTTTATACAAGAAAGACTAACGTTGAAATTAAAATATTTAAAAATATTCAAAAAATTAAAAAAATCGTAACATATTTAAATATTTAAAATCTTAACAAAATTAAAATATTTAAATATTTAAAAATTAAAATATTGATTTGAATTAAGTTTTGAAAAGAGTTTCGAATTATGTGTTTGGTTATGAGTTTTGAAAAGTAATGATTATGTTTTGAATTGAGTTTTGAGAAATGGATGTAGAATTATAATTTGAAAATTCAAAACAAACAATACACTCAAATCAATGGGTGAAACTATAATTTGAAACCCTAACCAAACGGAGCCTTATATTCCCATACGTCCTGTGAAAAGTTAGTTGACACATTTACCCTTAATAGTAGTTGTTAATATCATAAATAATACCAAAACCATATATAGGAAATTGAATGTTACTATAGATCATATCCATATGGATGTGAATTTGAAATTCAAAATACACGTGATATGTGGAAATTGCAGATTCATTTATGCAAAATTTTAGGAAACAAAAAAATTAGATATGTTTTGTAGCTCTATTCTAATGTGAACGGCTAATTCATTTGAGAACATTTCGAAACTCACCACCGAGAGGAGAAGGGGCGCGATTCGACCGCCATGTTTGAACGGGAAGATGCTAACGAAATATCGTTTCCGGTGAACGAGGAGGAATGATGGCTCCAAAACGTAAGTATGGGTTGCCCCCTGTTTTGCAATGTTCATTCATTTGATTTTGATTAACAACCTAGAACTATGGTTTATGTGAATATGAGGTTTTTGATAATTTCGGTTAACTTCAGTCATAATATGTAATGGTAGTTGTATGTTTTGTGAGTTTTATGAGGAATAAAGGATTTTATAGTTCTCGATTTCAAGATAGTATATATGTGGGGGTTGTCGTTATGTGACTTAGTTGTTGGTGTTGTAGGATGGGGGTCTTACGGGTTGTCCAATATGGGTGTTTTGTGCTTGATTCATTATTGTATTGCCTGGTACGTGGTCTATTGGTTTTTTTTTTTTTTTTCGAACCATGCAAAGTATCGTGTTTGGTAGACTATTTTTGAGGGGTTCACGTTATGGTACGATGTCGTTTGGTTGTGCGCATTAACTTAAAAATAAGTTGTTGGATGTGAATGGTGCCACATCCTTGTGTTATGTGTTGTATAGTTTCTGAATATGATTGTGACCCAATGATAAATTACTGTTTAATGTGAGTGGCAGCACATGTAAGTTGGACTATGTGTATAGTTTCACGTTGTGGTACGGTGTCATTTGGTTATTTACATTCAGTAATAAAAGTAAGTTGTCGAACGTAGCTGGTGCCACTGTAGACACCCCATTTTTGACCAACCTTAAGACTCAGACGTCACTGATTGAGCGCTTGGTGATGCTGCATAATGTGCTTGTTGAATATGATTGTGACCCAATGATAAATTACTGTTTAATGTGAGTGGCAGCACATGTAAGTTGGACTATGTGTATAGTTTCACGTTGTGGTACGGTGTCATTTGGTTATTTACATTCAGTAATAAAAGTAAGTTGTCGAACGTAGCTGGTGCCACTGTAGACACTCCATTTTTGACCGACCTTAAGACTCAGACGTCACTGATTGAGCGCTTGGTGATGCTGCATAATGTGTTTGTTCAGAAGTTTCAGAGTTGCGGCCGTGAGCCCTGCCTCTGAACTTCCGAACCCTCTTTTGTACTTTGCCTCGGTTTGCGAACCAGGCTCGGTTTTCTTTGTTTCTTTTCCTAAGGGAAGAGAGAGGTCCCGTAGACCATCTCTCAATGTCCGTAGGCTACATTTGGTGGCCGTAGGCCATTTTGCCCATATCGGAGTCCGGTTTCCGGATTTCGGAGCCGTCAGGCCGTGTGCCTCGGTTCGGGACCGCTTAACCATCTCCTATTGCTCTGATTTTTTGGCATACTCCTTATTTTCATGTTCTGCATTTTCTCGGCTCGCGTGCCTGTGTGCACGCATTTCGAGGCATGTTCATTCCATAGCATTGTGTATGTTAGGATTGTATTTAGTTGCATTTCATGCATGTCATGCATTATTACGTCGTGTTCGGAATAGGAGTTAGCTCGGGCACGGGAAACGAGGTACATTTCGTACTCTGAGTGACGGAATGTGTCTCAATTCCCCAGTCACCGACACTCCGGATTATCCATGATGGAGTTAGGTTTTAGCTGTGTTTTCATGTGCATTCATCCTATATTGAGTT